GTGTTGTGGGAAGCATTGAAAACAGGTGGTTAATTTGAGTAAAGTTTTCGACGGTAGTCAAATGAGTGACAGTGGGAGCATTTGAAATCATCTTCTATCTTTTTTAGCAGAGGGGTGTAGTCAAGGTTGAAAAGTTCTGACAGCGTAGGGGAAATACAGATGCCTAAATATTTTATGTTGCCAGTGTGGGGTGGTAGGGGGACAGTCTTGAGCTGTAGAATTCCAGGCATCTTCAGAGAGTGGCAATATGGTGGATTTATTCCAGTTTGTTGTGTAGTTAGAAATCCTGGAGAATGTATTAATAATGGAGAAGGTTTGTCATGGTGAACTGTAGGGGTCCTGTAGATATAATAATAAATCATCTGCATAGGGGCTAATTTTATGTTGTGAGTTGGTATCCTGTATTCCTTTGATGCTCTTATTCTGTTGTATTGCTGCTGCTAGAGGTTCAATGAAGATGGTGAATAGAGATGGTGAGAGTGGGCATCCTTGTCTAGTTCCTCAGTGAAGTGTGAAACTTTGTGAAGTTATCCCATTTGTGGTTATTGTAGCTCTTGGTAATGTATATAGTGTTTTAATTCAGTGGATGAAGGACACTCCAAAACCAACTCTTGGTGGGTGGCCTTCGGCCTCGACCGGTTGGGGTGAGCGTATAGAGGAGAGAGAAAAGCAAAGCAACAAGATACAACAACGAACAATCAAACACCCGTCAGGTGGTTGTGGCCGGTGACTGTTCATGAGAAACGTAGAGCTCCAGAGCCAGGGCTACCTGCAGAAAGGTACAGGGAGAGAGAGAGAGAGAGGAGACGCTGTGGGAGGGAGGAGACACACAGTTAGTGATGGGTAATGGTGGCATATAGATGCATGGAGAGGGGAGGAGCTGAAGTGTTTAGATTTTTATCCTGACATGAGCATTACTGTAAAATTCATTTCAAATGTTAAAAATAAGAAAACGCTCATGTGTAGTACGACCAGTTAAGCTGGGAGCCGTTGTTCATCTGTGTGCGGCATCTCAACAGGCAGAGGGAAAAATACAGGAAACGTATCACTAAGTCTTGTAATATCCCCTCAGCTGAACTCATGTCTCTGTCCTGTGCTGCTTCCTGTCAGGATGTTTGTTTTAATTTAGGGACATACTAAGAACGTCAAAAAGGTTTTGTGAGCTTTTATCTATCAGCTGAAATGATAATTAATTAGTACATTAACAGAAACTTAATCTGCTACAACTCTGCTAGTCATTTTTGATCAAGCACTTTTTGATCTGTCAGGTAATTTTAAAGAATAAACATCTAACACGTACCACTACCGGAAATTTCTGCAATGTGGATATTTGCCGGTTTTCTTATTTCTACTGTGATAGTACAAGTAGTACAGTGTGAATTGGACCATTAGACCAAACTGCTGCAGATCATTTCTTTCTCAATAGACTATTTGATTAAAAACTAATTGTTTCTGTGATTAACCCCCACCCCAGATTGAATCATATTGCAGTTGTGTCCTCTGGGAATGGACTCCTCACTCCGCTCCAGCTGAAGGATGTCGAGTTCTCTGTAATGTTTGCTTTAGAGCTATAGTTGTTCCCAGATTATTATGGCCAAACAGTTCACTCACACAAAAGAAAGGTGGATGAAACTTTTTATGGCCAAACAGTTCACTCACACGTTGTTGTAAAAGAAAGGTGGATGAAAGTCACAGTCAGTTTACAGTAGGTTTGCATAGGAGATTGTCACAAATTCCCTCCCTCCCTGTTTCACATTAGTGCTCACTCATTTTGTGAGATTAAGGTGTTTATATGGAATCTTTGAGTCTTAAAATCAAGTGAATAGTTGTTGAATGTAATCATAATATAATATTTAATGTTCCATTTTACCTAAATGCCTTATGGAATTGAATATTTTACCATCCCTGTAGCGGTGGGAGAAAATTCCAGTATCTTCTACAATTCTATATCGATTCACAAATGCTAAAAATTGATTTTGAAAACTGAAGGAAGAAAAAGGTGGAACTCAACCGCTAAGTCAGCGTAGCACACGGACAGCGTGCACATACAGGAGTTGTTGTACGTCTGTGGTTGTAACGTTAGTTCATCTTCAGAAACGGAAATCAGTTGCACGTTAATGACTTGATAGTGTGTGAATACTTCACAGCCGATCACCGGCAGACTGACGTCAACAACAACATATTCGAGCGCTCTGCTTGTTCTTCCCCCTCCCCTTTACAATACACACATGCAACTACCAAAACCCAGCAATGGAAGAAGTACTCATTGTATGCTGAAGTAAAAGTAGCTGTACCACAGTGTGAAAATACTCAATACTCATCCCTACACAAACACATATTATTCCAGCCTAATTGAATGTGTTCCTTTTCCTGCAGGTATGCGGCCTAGCATTGAGTGTGGTGGGAATCATGGCTCAGGTGGCTCTGAACAAGACCTTAAAGATCACTGATCCAACAGCCTCAGCAGCTCCCATTGTTATCATTGCAGTCGGTGCAGTGATTTTTGTCATTGCCTTCTTTGGCTGCTGTGGAGCCTGGAAGGAGAGTTCCTGCATGGTCACCATGGTAATTCATATACAGTGGTATCTGTTCATCATTAGACAAAAAAAGTTGAATTAACTTTGTTTAGAGGAAAATCTGTGGTACAAATTTCTAAGTAACACATTTCCAAAACATGCAAAAAGTATCTTATTTGCATAGTAACCATTTTTTGTCTCTCTTGCAGTTTGCCATTTTTCTCGTACTGGCCATCATTATTGACTTGGCAGCATTAATAGCTGGATATGTCTTCAGAAATGAAGTATGTACATAAATTCATTGTTAGTTACATAAAGCCCTGCAGAAGGCATGGTTTAACTTTGGCTGCATGTTGTGTCTCCTTTCTAGGTCTCAATTGTGGTCGAGAAAACCCTCGTTGACATGATGGCTGGTTATAACAACAACACTGAGCTGAAAAAGGCTGTGGATAAACTGCAGGAGGATGTAAGTTTACTGTAAACTCTGTACTCCATACTCACTGTTTACTTAAGTTGGCACCACCTTCACATAACACTGCTCCATCCTGTTGGCCGGTGCTGTGGAAGATGACTTTTTTTTTTTTTGCCGCCATCTGCTGGCACAAGTTGTATTATCTTACTGTGCATTTGTGATTTGCAGACTTACAATGGGAACGTCCATATGAAATGTTTTTCATTTGACTCACTTATACTTCCAGGTGCAGTGCTGTGGTGTGAACAGTACTTCTGACTGGGCCAACTTCAAACCTAATAAAAATTCTGTGCCTGACTCATGCTGTGTGAATGTCACTAAAGACTGTGGACTCAACAACATGAAAAACCCCGTCAAAGTGCACCAGCTGGTAAACTCCCAACGACTGATGCTTTTGTAATGAAGTTGGTGCCGCTCCAGCTGAAGGATGTCGAGTTCTCTGTAATGTTTGCTTTAGAGCTATAGTTGTTCCCAGATTTTTATGGCCAAACAGTTCACTCACACGTTGTTGTAAAAGAAAGGTGGATGAAAGTCACAGTCAGTTTACAGTAGGTTTGCATAGGAGATTGTCACAAATTCCCTCCCTCCCTGTTTCACATTAGTGCTCACTCATTTTGTGAGATTAAGGTGTTTATATGGAATCTTTGAGTCTTAAAATCAAGTGAATAGTTGTTGAATGTAATCATAATATAATATTTAATGTTCCATTTCACCTAAATGCCTTATGGAATTGAATATTTTACCATCCCTGTAGCGGTGGGAGAAAATTCCAGTATCTTCTACAATTCTATATCGATTCACAAATGCTAAAAATTGATTTTGAAAACTGAAGGAAGAAAAAGGTGGAACTCAACCGCTAAGTCAGCGTAGCACACGGACAGCGTGCACATACAGGAGTTGTTGTACGTCTGTGGTTGTAACGTTAGTTCATCTTCAGAAACGGAAATCAGTTGCACGTTAATGACTTGATAGTGTGTGAATACTTCACAGCCGATCACCGGCAGACTGACGTCAACAACAACATATTCGAGCGCTCTGCTTGTTCTTCCCCCTCCCCTTTACAATACACACATGCAACTACCAAAACCCAGCAATGGAAGAAGTACTCATTGTATGCTGAAGTAAAAGTAGCTGTACCACAGTGTG